TAAAATAATATACAAAATCGATATTATGGACAATAAAATTTGTATGGTTGAGGAAAAAATGCAATCGTCGAATTATTTTTACCAAGAATGTGATTTTCAATTTCCAATAGCAACATTATTGGAATTGACATATTTCGAAGAGCAATTAAAAGATAAAAAGTTTAAGAACGAAGTAGTAAGATACACATTTTTATTTTTACTATAATAACATAGAGATATTTCTCTCAATGTATGTAAATTTAGTTAGAAATATATATGTAAAATACTTGTTCATAAATTATTAATTATTAATGCAAAAAATTTATACTAATATATAATATTACTTATAAAATTGATTTCTTACAGATTAGTACTTTTAAACTTGTTGGAGGAAGTACTGCTCATGCCATGATACGGAATATCTTTAAAAAATCAATTACAAATGAGTTAGCTCAACATTTTAGTTGGGCTGGTAAAAAGAAAAAGCGTAGTTTTAAAGACTTGACTTTTGCAACAATTCTTATACGTAAGTTATTATATATATATATATATATATATATATATATATATATCTTAATTATTATAAAAGAAAAGATCTAGCTTGAACAAAAAATTTTCTCGTTTCTTGGTTCTTATATATCGGTTTACAAATGTTATTGTTGTTTAAGTTAAAGTTTATTTATTTTAATTTAAATTATAGACTTGTTTAAAAAATATTATTTTCAATATATGTTTAATTAAAATACTTGTGTTGTAATGCTTCTTTTTATGTTACATTTATAGAGGCTGTTCGTATAGTTTATAATCATATGACAGACAATGATATAGCTGAATACGCGGCAAAATGGCTTGCCCAAGCAACGTTAAGGATTCATAGAGAAAGGTATGCATTTGATATAATAAAAAGTTTTAGTATTTTTAAAAAAAGATATTTTACAATATACATATAAAATATGTACAAATTATTATTTATTTATAAAAGCTTATAAATGATTGATATATAGATTTATTACATATAACAGTATATACATATACAATAGTACATATAATAGTATATACATATAAAGAGCTGTAATTATTTTTAAATGTCTTTAAATCTTTTTTATTTGTAAATTGTTTTAGTAAAACTATTCCACTGGAAGAAAACGAGGATGAACAAGAAGATGATCAGTTGGAGTAAAAAGTTGAAGCAAAAATTAATTGGAACAAGAACATTTTTATTTTATTTCATAAAAGTTAAACATTTTCATTTTATTTAATAAAAATAGAAGAAAAAAGAAAGCTAATAAATCAAAAAAGTGTAATTGAAAATAATTTTGTAACAATTTATATGACAAACTTTATTTTTTATTTATATAACAGTGTTTAGTTTTTATTTTTATTTTTTATATGTATGCAATTACACATATACATACAATTACACATAATTGAATAATATAAAAGTGTGCAATAAATGTGTATTAAATAAAAATAATACTTATATACAATAAGATACAATAGATACATAAACATGTATATAGATATACATATATATAAATAAAAGTATAATGAATTATAATCAAATTAATTCATTTCTTTATATTATATACATCTACATACACACACATATATATATATATAATGCAAAATGTATTTTTTAAATGTATTTTCTATTTACGGACAACTTTTGTACGTTTCCACTAATCTATAGTTTAGTAATATCCATATTTACAACTATAATTAACTTAAAATGTTTGTAAACTGCACTATTAAAGCATCACATGCAGTTTACAAACATTTTAAGTAATTTAAGTCAATTATAGTTATAATTATAATATAAATATGGATGTTACTAAATTATAGATTAATGGAAACTATAAAAGTTGTCCGTAAATAGAAAATACATTTAAAAAGTACATTTTGCATTATTATACATATATTGCATTAAAATATTGCTACGATATTACAGTGCAATCTTTCCGAGGGCGGACATTTTACCGTTGCTGTAATCTCATAGTAATATTACAGTCATATTTTGCAATATATTTGCAATGTTGCAATCTTTCAATAAAATATTTCTGCAACGTTCCTGCATACTTTCTGTGCTGTATGGGCAGTTATTCAGAAAATGGTTATGGAAAAGGTGGCATTCCACAATGCCACCGTGCTGCGAGAGAATTAACATACACATCTATATAACTTTGCTAGGGACTCTAAGTAGAGCGCGCTTAATCCTTGTTAGTTTTTTATTATATATATATATATATATATATATATATATATAGTGATACTTT